TCGGTCCTCAGCTCCGGAAAACAAAAACGAAAACAAACAAAACAAACAAACAAACAAACAAAAAAAGCCAAGGATGAAATGACTCAAGACCCTTTGGAGGGGGAGAAGAGAAGGCCAAACAAGCCTTGGTGACTGAGTTTGCCATGTCGTAGCTGGGAGACTAGGCAGGCTCACTCACATTCAGTCTCTCTGAACACAGGATGGTAACAATCCCCAGTCTCCAAGGCTTGGGGCGAGGACTGAACCAGGTGACCTAACAATGTGCTCGCTCATGGCAGAGGACATAAGCAATAAAAAGCATCCTTGTTGAAGACTGTCGTCATCTTGTTATTAGAAGTGGGGGAGTGCCGTTGTCTCCTGTTGGCTTCTGAGCTCCGGGTCAGCCTACTCCATAACCGATGACTTCCCGTTCAGGCACCAGCTGTCTCCCTGTCTGTGGTTCTCTGGGTGCAGGGCAGCCATGACTCTGGGATGGATGGATATGGCAGCTTTGTCCTCTGAGGCCAAGGGAAACCCCAGCTGCCTCTGTGTTGGGCAGAACTCACTGAGGAACAGGGGACTTGAGATGAGAATATGAGGTGGAAAGTTATTTCCAAACCCTCTAAGCTGAGCGTGGCAGCACACGCCTGTAATTCCAGCCCTGGAGAAGAAGCAGGAGGATCAGGAGTTCATGGCTTTCCTACTTACTGAGTTTGAGGCCAGCCTGAGCTCAAGGAGACCCTACCTTAAAAAATAAAATAAAATAAAATAAAATAAATGAAGCAAACCATCCAACCAACAACAATGAAATGTTGCTGAAACAATCTAGATTGCTCTGCCTTTCTACCCAGGATAGTAGGCTGTCTGCATCTCAAAACACATCAGGAAAGCTGTAAGCAGAGCATGGGCCCAGCTCAGGACAGGGACTCTTGGTTTTTTCAGACAGGGCTTCTCTGTAACACCTCTGGCTGTCCTGGAACTCGCTTTACAGACCAGGTCCAAACTCAAAAGAGATTCACCTGCTCTGCCTCCCGAGTGCTGGGATTAAAGGCAGGACAGTGACTCCTTAGTGTTAGGCTTTCCACTCTTTTCCCGGCTCAGCCCTCTGCAAGAGAGCAAGAGCTTCAAGAACAGGGGTGTGAGGGCCTGGCAGCAGAGGGTGGACAGACGCGATTTCCAAACATTCCCTTTGACAGATAACCAGCCCAGAAGGTATCAGGCACCAGCTGGGCCCTGCTGGGGAGGAGCAGCTGCTGGAAATGGCATGGCAGGAATCTAAACAGAGGTGATTTATTTCCCCTGCTCCCTGGCAGGTTCTTATCCGTACATTTTCCTTCTTGTCCAGCAGGGCAGAGCAAACGATCTTTCGGTCAATTGGCAATGCTTCATGGTTTTTCTTCCTTTTTTTAAAAAAATGTATTTGTACATGAAACTGGAGTCTGTTAGGTGGATGGTAGTGTACAAAGCTCCCTTTCTTTTATTCTTTAATTGTGTTTGTTGTATGTGTGCATGTGGGGGTTAGAGGTCAACCTTGGATGTCCTGCCTTAGGAAAATCCACCTTTTTTAAAATATTGATGACATTTATTTTGATCCTGAAAAACAAATACATATTATAATGCTTAATAGGTTTTAAATTTTTGATGGACTTTAAAATAAAAGTATAAATTATATTTTATCAACTTTAAATACTTTTACATTTTAATTATATTATTATTATTATTATTATTATTATTATTATTATTATTATTATTATTGGGTTTTTGAGACAGGGTCTCTCTACATAGTCCTGGTTGTTCTGGAACTCATTATGTTTACCAGGCTGCCCTCAAAACTAACAGAGATCCACCTACCTCTGCCTCCTGAATGCTGGGATTAAATGTGTACACCACTACTCTTGACTGTAATTATTTTATTTTTAAAGATTATAATATTATATTGTAATACACAATTTCCCCTTTCCCTTTCTACTGTTCAAATCTTCCAATATATCCCTTCTTGCTGTCTCTCAAATATATGGCCTCTTTTTTCACTTTGCGTGTGCGCATTTGTGTGTGTGTGTGTGTGTGTGTGTGTGTGTGTGTGTGTGTGTAAATGCAACCTGCTCAGTCCGTATAATGCTATTTACATGTATGTTTTCAGAGCTGACCACCTGGTATTGGGTAATCATTTGTTGTGCTGTTTCCGGGAAAGACTATTTCTCCCATCTTAGCATTCCTTGGTTGCCTGTAGTTCTTTCTGTAGGGTTGAGACCGTAGTCCACCCTGTTTTTTTGAGATAGAGTTGGTGGAACCTGGGGCGCGTTGATTTGGTTAGGCTGGTGGGCCAGTGAGCCCCAGCTTCTTCCTGCCTCTACCTCCCCAGCGCTGGGGTTATGGGCATGCGCACCCTCATGTCTGTCTTTTTCCATGGGCTCTGGGGGACGGTCCGCGGGTCCCCGTGTTTGAGCAGCAGGCGCTTTAACCACACTGGGCTGTCTCTCTGCCTCCTGCTCCGGTTCTTTATCAGATCTTTTAGGAACTGGCCAGATACTGATATTTCCCAGGCGAGAGGCGGAGAAACATGAGCAACCTTTACTCTTTCCTGCTGAACACAGAGCCCTACTCCCTACGAGAGGTTGTCCCTGGCCCAGTGCCTTCCTAGAGAGCCCCACGCCTGCCTCGCCCTCCCGGGGAGCCCCACCTAAGAGAGAACTCCCTGTACACTCTCACGGTACTTCAGTGAACAAAGTTTACTGTCGCTAGACGGCCCTCCCACCTGCGGACTTCCTCATCTCGCCTCTCTCAAGACCGCGTGCCATAAAAAGATGTTGGCGTCATAAAAGATGTCATCTCCCTGGAAGGAAGGGACTCCCTAGGCTTCTCCTCAAACCGTGACTTTGAGTCAACCGGGTGCATTTGGCAAATGACCCGACAGAGGACTGGCAAATAAACAGTAAATAGAATACTTGTTGCTATTATCAACTCCGTTAAGTTAACCAATGGAAACAATGGGGGGTCAGCCACAGCAGACATAGCCCCGTGTGCTGGGTTTGCAGGCCCGAGCAGGATGTGAGCCCTGCCTCTGACCGCCTTCTGATCCCTGTGAAATGATTGCTAGGGGTCACGTTACAGAAATTAAGGGTGTTGAAAGTGAGAGTCGGGATGGCCGGGTTCTGTGCTCCCAGAGGACGCCTAAGGGGACAGGGTGTCTGTGAGAAGTGAGGAGGACCACAGCAAGAAGGTGACTTGAGCTTTTCTCTCCTGCGAGAGGCAAGAGGAAAGGACATCATGGAAGAGAGAGAGGTGAGAGAAGAGGAAGGAAGGCCTGAGGGAGCGGCATGGCCTGGCTTGGCCGGAGTGGGGTGGAGGTAAAAGTGAAGTGAAGAGAAAAGGTACCATGGGGCTGGCCGAGGAGTGTCTCTCTGTACCACTCAGGAACCAGAACCGTGTCCTGTGAGCATCAAGAAACTAACAGGACAGTGGCCTTTGTGAGCCGGGGAGGCTCCAGCAGTAAACCTGGGAGGGACCTGAAAGGGAGTGTGATCAGGAAAGATCAGAGGAAGAGACCTGGGACTCTCTGGAGGGAGGTTATGTAACGCTTAGCTCAGCGGCACACACACACACACACACACACACACACACACACACACACACCCAAGTGTGTCATCTATTGGGGGTCATAGGTGATGCTTCCCAGTGTACAGATAAGAGAAACACTGCTCCCTCATCTTGATACACGCTCCCACGTGACTACAGACTCCAGTGTGAAGTCCACAGCTCTTCTCCGGGGTTTTATTCTTGACTTGAGTGTTCTCTGCCTGTGAAATGTGACCCCCAAAACCAATGGGTCTAACTGGTTAACACAGCCATCAGACCCCTGACATTGCACAGAATTCAGCTTGCCACATCCCCCAGTCTCCTCTTGTTTCTCAGAACATCTTTGAGGATTATAGAATAGTGATTTGGTAGACCTTTCTCGGTTTGGGCCTGTTCGATGTCTCCCCATTGTAAGTAAGTGTTTGGGGAGAAATTTCACAGAAACGGTTCATGTTGTGATTGCAGCTTCTCAGCTGGAATATGATTCCATCTGTCCTGTTAGTAATGCTATGTCTTTTTCTTGACAGGTCCTGGTTCAGATTTATTTATACAAAGAGCACTGAAGGGTATCAACTCTGTGTAGATACAGCCCAGGAAGACAACGGTCTTTCTGTCCTCACATGGATTGGTGAAGACCTCTGTCCCAGAGTCTTCATAGAGACCAGGGTTCTTGGCCTTGGCACTGGCCAGCAGAGCTGGAGACACTAGTGATGTAGGCACCCATGCACTGGGGATATGATGTGCTTCTGCAGTTTGGCGTGGGCAGCGTGAACAAGTTCATTGAGCCTGTGGCCGAGGAGGCACTGTCGATTTTGACTTCCTAGGGATGTACCAGGGTCTGCATGGCAATGGTGTGTGCCACAGCCTTGGCCCTTGGCCTGCAGCTTCTGGAACCTTCCTTCTGATTCTTGGTAAACCGTGTGTTTTTCAGGAACTGCTTATGATTTTTATAGTTTCATTTCTTCTATGATTTCTGTGCTATTTTTGGGGGGCTGGGCTGTGCTCCCCAAATTTGGCTGTGTGTACCTGGGAGCTTGACAATAATGTCAGCTGTGATTACTCGGCTCCGTTTTTATGTCAACTTATTTTTCACCAGGAACCTACTTATTTTCTTTTTATTTGTTTGGGTTTTTTTGTTTGTTTGTTTGTTGTTGTTGTTGTTTTTGAGACAGGGTTTCTCTGTGTAGTTTTGGTGCCTGTCCTGAATCTCGCTCTGTAGACCAGGCTGGCCTCGAACTCACAGAGATCCGCCCGGCTCTGCCTCCTGAGTGCTGGGATTAAAGGTGTGCACCAACACCGTCCGGCTGCTTTTTATTTTTAAATAAGGACTTGAGACCATGCAAATAGCCCATTTCTCATCAAATTTGTCACTAGATGTAGGATCTGCTGATGTCTCTTGCATTAGTTATTACCATGAAGGCTACTAATGGTGATTTTCTTTTTTTAAAAATAAGGAATGCTTCATGAATTTGCATGTCAGTTTCACATGGACCATGCTAATTTTCTCTTTTTGTTCCAATTTTAGTATATGTACTGCCAAAGTGAGCACTAAATGGTGATTTCTTTCTTTTCTTTTTTCTTCTTTTTTTGGTTTTTTTGAGACAGGGTTTCTCTGTGTAGCTTTGTGCCTTTCCTGGATCTCGCTCTGTAGACCAGGCTGGTCTTGAACTCACAAAGATCTGCCTGCCTCTGCCTCCCGAGTGCTGGGATTACAGGCGTGAACCACCACTGCCAGGCTTGATTCTTTTTTTTTTTTTTTAATTTTTCTAATCCTAATTAAGTAATCTAATCTAATGATTGGCATGCTATTATAAGGTTGAGCTTCTATCTATCTATCTATCTATCTATCTATCTATCTATCTATCATCTGTCTATCTTCTTACTATGAAATCATAGATTTCAAGTTTATTGATGGATTTCTAATTTTTTGTTGCTACATATATAAATATTTATTTATTTCCACTTTATGTCATGAGTGTTTGCCTGTATATATGTTTTATACAGTGCCTGTGGAGGCTAGAAGATGGCATTAGAACCCCCGGAAGTAGCATTACAGATGGTTGTGGGTAGACAAGTGGGTGCTGGGAACAGAACCTGGGTCCTCTGCAAGAGTATCAAGTGTTCTTGCCCACTGAACCATCTCTCCAGCTGCCATGATGTATTTTACTGTTTGGACCATTCCAGATTTGGCTCATGAAAGCACATTTTTCAAGTTGGCTTCTGGGTCCTCCTGATTTATCTTCATCACACTTTGGGAGCTCCCTGATGTTCTAGCTCTACAGGATATTCTAAGTTTATCTTGTACTTTTACTGATTGTTTTAGTTTCATCTAAATTGTTGTGATTAAAAACACCATGACCAAAAGCAACTTAGAGGAGGAAAGGCTTTATTTCACCTTACCACTCCAGGTCACAGTCCGTCATTAAGGGAAGTCAGAGCAGAACTTGAAGCTGAAACGTGGGGGAAATACTGCTTGCTGATACATTTCATGTTTAGCTAGCTAGCTTTTACAACCTAGGACTACTTGCCCAGGGAATGATGCTGCCCACTATGGGCTGGGCCCTCCCTATCAATGAACAATTAAGATAATTCCCTCTAGGCACATCTACAGGCTAATCTGATCTGGGCAATTCCTCATTAAGACTCCTCCCTTTGCCTGGCGGTGGTGCCGCACACCTTTAATCACAGCACTCGAGAGGCAAAGGCAGACCGATCTCTGTAAGTTCGAGGCCAACCTGGTCTACAAAGTGAGTTCGACAGACAGGGCTACACAGAGAAACTGTGTCTCAAGAAACAAAAACAAACAAACAAAGACTCCCTCCTTTAACGGAGCCATTGGGTTTCCCCAGGTCAGGCATAGTGGGTGTTTGAGAGCACTTCTGAATTTCATTCTGATGGATTATGTATCACATATTCTTCACAGGGAGTTGTTCTTAGAGAATGTAGATATGGCATAGATGTATCTTTTCAAAAGGAACCCTGTCTTTGTATAACCAATAGTGTTAGTGTGCTCCCTCAGTGACTGTGGTATTCTGTAATATCACCTCCACAGCTAGAGCCTTCAGTGAAGCTCTTGGGGAGGTGGCGACAGAGAGCCTCATCTTTCCCAACTTGCAGTTCTTAGACAGAACCAAGTCTGCATGTCATGTATTGGAGCTGAATGTATTTAATGTGATAATTATCCCTGGTGCTGCTGGTGCATTTGCTTGCTCTTCTCTTCAGGAACAATGATTTCTCACCAAATGAGTGCCCTCAAGTCCCACAGAGTTACCATGAGTTCTAGTCCTAAGGTAGAGAGCAAAGTACATTATGGAAAACCAAAGAAACAGAAATACCATAGGGAAGGTATTAGGGACAATAGTACTGCCCTGGAGACCTGCATACCACATCCGGTCCTCCACCATGAAAGCCAGTCAGCTGTCTCCAGGAAGTGGCCTTTCTGATAACACATTGCCTTCAGGATGAGGTAAAATGCCTTTTAGTATAGGCCTGAAGCGATTTTTGTTTGATTGCTTCATCACAGACACTCCAGGATCTAAGACCTTGTGCATGGTGTTGCCGATCATCTCCATTGCCTCCTCCATCCTTTAACTTTGTACATAGACTTGAATTCTTCCCGTGTGTGTTTTGTTTATTGTCTCTCTTCCCCCCTAGACTGCGGTCCTTTCCCTTCTATAGCATGAGCCACAAGGCACAACTGTTTGTATGTACCTGGGATGTAGAAAAAGATCAAGAATTCTTTATAGGATGGATGAATGCTTCTAAGGAGTCTACTTAAAATGTAGATTGGAGGTTGACAAGATGACCCAACAGGCAAGGGCATTGTTATCAAGCCTGACAACCTGAATTCAACTCCAGGGACCCTCACGGTAGAAAAAGAGCAGTGACTCCCGAAAGTTGTACACACATACACAAACACATGAAATTTGAAAAAAAAATTAACGTAGATTGAGCTTTAACGTGAGAGCTATGTCCTTTTCCTTAGGAGAAAATCAAGCAAGTTTTCACCACTATTTGACTTCTCCGTTTTGTCAACAAAAGATGTTTCTTTGGGGCAACAGGGAAGCGTTAGAGGAAGGGCAGGTTTTCAACAGCAGCGTTTGGTTGGAACAATGACAAGAACAAAATAACCTGAATCAACCACACCCCAAATCACCGCCCACAAGGACACGAGTTAGAAGGAAAATCAAGACTATTCCATTCAGACATGCTGGCATCGGGCATCTTTTATTTCATGCTCTGTTTGCGTCACTATTTTTTGTAGCTACTAATTTGTCAGTTATTATGTAGTGGATGCTAATTTCTCATCACTAAAATACAAATTTTGTGCAAGACTGCTAAAACCCGAAGTTATGTCAATGTAGTCTCAAAGGTGTGAGCCTGTCTTGTTTCTTTCTGGTGAATTGTCTGTTCATCTGATGACATCAAATGGCCCAAATGAGCATGTAGGTGTTAAATATATGTTGTGTAAGTCACATGGTTAAGTCAGGAAACAATTATTCCACTTACATTCAAACCACTTAGTATTTTGTATGTTTCTGTTCAGTTCACTTAAAACATATTTAGATATTGTATTAGTCAGGGTTCTCTAGAAGGATAGAATTTGTAGAACGAGTATATATGTACTGCATGGAGGGGGATTTATTAGATTGGATTATATTATACTTCTTAGGAATATTGTGTTTATTAGATTGGTCTATGTGTCGGAGAGGCTGAGACTCTAGTAGCCACTCAGTCTACGGATGCCTCCGCCACAATCTGGCACTAAAGTCCCTGATCTTTAGCCCACATTGTAAAGCCTAAGAAACTGGGCTCCTATGGCAGTGAAGGACGCAGCAACAGAAAAGATGCACTGGCCAGCAGGGAGCAAAGATGGACAAGGCAAAGCCCTGCTCCCCTCCGACCTCTTTATTCTGGCCACCTTTAATCCTCCCTGTAGACACCCTCTCAGACCCTCCCAGACCCCCCAGACCTTCCCAGGTGTGTGTCCCTTAGTTAAGCCCAGATCCAGTCAAGTTGATAAGCAAGATTAACTGTCACTGATGGATACTGGCGTGTGCCCTTGTAAGACAAATTGCTAAATGTTCTTATTAATAAAACCTAGAGCCAGATATTCGGTGAAAAACTGAGAGATTGGAGAAATAGGACAAGCCACAGGCAACCTCACCTCACTGACACCTCAGCTTCCAAAGAGACCTACTTCCTGTATACCCACGGCTACATGCCTTTCTGTTCTGCCATCTCATTTCCTCTCTCCACCCAGCTACATCACTTCCTCTTCCTGCCCAGCTCTGTTACTTCCTGTCTGTCTGTCTGTCTGTCTAGACCTCCAGACCTTTATGGTTAGTGCTGGGATTAAAGGTATGTACCACCATGCCTGGCTCTGTTCCTACTGTGGCTTTGAACTCACAGAGATCCAGACAGATCTCTGCCTCCCGAGTGATAAGATTAAAGGCGTGTGTTACCACTGCCTAGCCTCTATGTTTAATATAGTGACTGGCTTTTTCCTCTGATCCTCTGAACCTCAGATAAACTTTATTAGGGTGCACAATATATTGGGGACATAATACATCACCACATGCCCTGACTGAGTAATGTCAGAAATATAAATGAGCATGTTTGTCTTTCCACAATGCTAGAACAACAAAAAATTCAAAAGGTACATCAATTTTGTTAACTTTCAACTCACCAAGTACTCCTGATTTCACTTAGTATTTATGGCCATTGGCAATAATGGATTCTTTTATTCTAATCCTAATTACTAATATTCACTCTGAGATCACACATACTCCACACATTTGGTATATAGGTCACAAAATGGCTAAAAATGGTTAATTAAAGCTGTTTAGGGGGTGGGCAGGCATGGTGGCACACATCTTTAATCAGGTAGAAGAGTCGTATAAATTCAAGGCTAACCTGGTCTACATAGTGAGTTCCAGACTAGCCAGAGCCACAAAGTGGTACTGTAAAAACAAAACATTGTTGTGGGGTTCAAAGGGCTTCCTGAAGACAAAAATTGAGAGCTGAGGGTCACTACAGTTGGTTAGTTGACCCAATAACAGAGCTGGCTCCAGGCTTACTGGATCTACACCAACCACAATTCAAGCAGTCTTAAGTCAGGCAGGGGAGGGAGTCAGCTCAGCTGATGCCTCACAATCAGGAAGTTTGTCCCTTGTTGATCCAATGGCCTGTGCACCATATGGTCTGATGATAGCTTATGGGTGCTAACGTAACCAGTATTAGCTCTGCTTCCTTTTATAAGGTCCAGCTGAGGGGGTTGCATGCTAACTGGCATGATTTGCTCAATAAACTCACTGGCCAGTTTTTTTTTTTTTCCTGATACCGTTTTGATATACCCATGTGTTCTTGATTTAATCTGGTAAATGCATAGTTGGTGCTCTTTTTATTTGTGTAAATATCTTATCAGTTTGTGCCTCATGGTTTGCCCTGGACAGACAGTGACTATTAATTTACATAAGCAAGATGCAGAGTCATTCTGCCTCTGCATCTGTACTCACAACAGAGCCAACTGCTCTTATGAAATGGAGTCACTTAAGACAAGGCACAGTCTGAAAGGAGTATAAATAGGGAGTAACGAAGGGTTGGCTTTGTTTTAGGGTTTCTGTTACTGTGAAGAGACACTATGACTACGGTAACTCTTATAAAAAAAAAAAAAACATTTAATTGGGGTGGCTTACATTTTCACAGGTCTAGTCCATTATCATCACAGTGCAACAAGGTGGCGTGCAGCCAAGACATGGTGCTGGAGCTGAGAGTCCTACATCATGATAGACAGGCAACAGGAAGTGGTCTTTCGCTCTGGGCGTGGCTTGAGCATATATGAGACCTCAAAGCCCGCCTCCACAGTGACACACTTCCTCCAAGACCACACCTACTCCAACAAGGCCACACCTCCTAATAGTGCCACTCCCTTTGGGGGCCTTTTTCTTTCAAACCACCACAAGCTTGATCTCAAGTTCATAAAGTTTGCTAGTAACTTCACTACCACTCGGTGTTCGTCATGCCCACACATATACACTGCTGTGGGATGGGCTGTATGTCAAATTGCTCTGATTGGTCAATAAATAAAACACTGATTGGCCAGTGGCTAGGCAGAAAGTATAGGCGGGACTAACAGAGAGGAGAAAAGAAAGGACAGGAAGACAGAGGGAGACACTGCCAGCCGCAGCCATGACAAGCAGCATGTGAAGATGCTGGTAAGCCATGAGCCATGTGGCAAGGTGTAGATTTATGGAAATTGATTAATTTAAGCTATAAGAACAGTTAGTAAGAAGCCTGCCACGGCCATACAGTTTGTAAGCAATATAAGTCTCTGTGTTTATTTGGTTGGGTCTGAGCGGCTGTGGGACTGGCAGGTGACAAAGATTTGTCCTGACTGTGGGCAAGGCAGGAAAACTCTAGCTACAATACAATGCATGCTTTACAATTTGGTACTTGAAAGACTTAAGTTTCCCTTTGATTAGCAGCATTGGAAATAATCTTTTATATCTCTTATGCAGAATCAATTGACAAGAAACTTCAATAGCTTTGAAGGGGGAAAAACATCCTCTAAAGTGTGTATGTGTGTATTTATATTTATACTAAACAGAACATCTTTACTTTTTGTTAAAATCTGCTTCCTGTTCTGTTATTTTGTGTTTTGTTCTTAGTAAATTTTTTATTTCTTTTGTATGTTCTTACTCTTGCCTGGCTGAGTCATATTCATGAAGCGTTATAAGGTTGGAACCACAGAAAAGAAGGAAAACACAGTATTACCATAAAGGTGGCCTTTATTTTCCTGATGACTGCTCGTCAACCAGGCCTTCTGGTTAAAATGTTTTCATAAAGGTCTACAAAATAATGACAAATGGTGGTGGCACACGCCTTTAATCCCAGCACTCGAGAGGCAGAGCCAGGCGGATCTCTGTGAGTTCAAGGTCAGCCTGGTCTACAGAGTGAGATCCAGGACAGGCACCAAAACTACACAGAGAAACCCTGTCTTGAAAAAACAAACAAACAAAAGAATGACAAATGTGGTGTGTGAGACAGCTCAGCAGGTGAAGGCACTTGCTCCCCCATCTGAGTTCTATCCCTGTGGTTCACATGGTGGAAGAAGAGTACCGATTCCCAAAAGTTGTTCTTAGAGATCTCTAAACACACATCATAGCCCCCACACATAAACAGGCACAGATAAAAGAATAACTGTTGTGGTAGTTTGAATAAAAATGGCCCCCGTAGGCCCCCATAGATTTGGATGATTAGTCATCAGGGAGTGGCACTACTTGAGAAGGATTAGGAGGCGTGGCCTTGTTGGAGGAAGTGTGTTACAGGAGGTGGGCTTTCAGGTTTCAAAAGTCCACGCCAGGCCCAGTATCACTATCATTTCCTGCTGCCTGTGGATCCAGATGTAGGGCTCTCAGTTCCTTCTCCAGCACCATGTCTGCCTGCGTGCCAACATGCTTCCCACCATGATGATAATGGACTGAACCTCTGGAACTGTAAGCCATCCCTAATTAAATGCTTTCTTTTATAAGAGTTGCTGTGGTCCTGGTATCTCTTCGCAGCTGTAGACAACTGTGATACAACGTTTAAAATACTGAATGTCTCATGCCTGATAGACTTTCCAAAACCACCTGTCAAATGAACGGCAGACGGTTACGTCTAAAGCTGCTGTTTGGAAGTTAGGCTGATATGTGTTGAAGTTCCAGTGAGGACATTTGAATTTACGGATGATGGTAACCCGGCCTTACTGCAAATTGCTGCCTGGCTTTGAAATCAGCACAATCAAGGACCTCATCTCTGTCAAAGGAGCAGTCAAGAAAGATACAGTCATCACAACTCGGAGATGTTTTCTTCTCCATCATCCAGGGGAAGGGGCAGGAAGGAGGACTCACAGTTTTGAGTGCCGACTCATGTCACTCCCTAATTTGGAAGTGTCAAAGGTCTCAGTCAATCTTTTCAGTAAAATAAGTTACAGATCAGGAAATGGAAATTCAGAGGTTTGGAAAGCCACACAAAATCAGACAGAAAGGAGGTTGGGGTTCAACATAGGCCTTGCTCCAGGCAGCTCCCACCTTCGCTTTCTCTGTGGAAGCCGTAACCCGGAGCCTCTGTCGGTCTGCAGCAGGGAAGCACAGACGAGTATTTAAAAGTCATTCTCGTGACCCGTTTGCTTCCTAGTTCCTAATCCTGAGCAGATCTGAGGTCACTCTGCAAACAACTCCGTCTCCAAAGCTGCGAACACAGAAGATCAAGATCTTTTTAAAACTCTGTCTGCAGGTTTAATATGGTCTGTCAGTCAGTTTCCCTCTCTTATATCAGCGGCAGGACAGATGTCTTCTGGATCTCGACGCCTACTGTACCTGCCTTGGACTCAGTTTCCAGGTAAATAAGAGAGCAGAGGAAAGCAATGTCAGGAGAAAAGGAAGACCCCGTGGCTTCAACCTCTGATCTCCACAGTGCTGTGCTGAACAGAGTATAGGGAGGTCTGCAACCTCTATAGTGACTGAAGCCACTGTCATAAAGGCCAGGGAATAATTTGTCACTAAGTAGAAAATAGGTGGTCACTGAAGGTGACCTTGTAGTTTGGGTCTGGATTTACTTTACCAAATCCAGGCACCGGCTACTCTAAGAAATTAGAATGGCCAGGTGGTGGTGACACATGCCTTTAATCACAGCACTTGGGAGGCAGAGGCAGGAGGATCTCTGCGTTTGAGGCCAGCCTGGTCTACAGAGTGAGTTCCAGCACAGCCAGGGCTATACAGAGAAACTCTGTCTCACAAAAAGCAAGCAAGCAAACAAACAGAACTAAAGATGCTTTTATTTACTTATTGAACAGAGAGGATGGGCTGCAGAGACGATGGCTCAGTGGTTAAGAGCACCTACTCCCATTTCAGAGGATCCGAGTTCAGTTCCCAGCACTTCGACAGCAGCTCACAACCATCTGTAACTCCATTTCCAGGGGATCTGATGCTCTCTTCTGGCCTCTGAGGGTATCAGGCATGCGTGTGGTACAAATACACACATGCAAGCAAAATACTCATACTCATAAAATGAAAATAAATATTTGAAAAGAATATTTCAAGAGGTGCAATGTCTTTAAAACACAGATCAAACTTTAAACTCATATAGCAAACTAGATATCTGTTTTGTTTTTTAAAAGATTAAAAATGTTTTTATTTTATGCTCATGTATGTGTGCCATTGCATGCAGGCATCCAAAGAGGCCAGATGAGGGCAACTGTAGCCCTTGGACCTGAAGTTACATTGAGACTAATGTGGGCTGCCCATTGTGGGTGCTGCCACCTAAATCTTATTCAGCTCCAAGAGCAGTAAGTACTCTTACCAGCTGAGCCAACTCTCTAGCCCGCAACTCGATATTTGTAATCCAAGCAATGACATAAAAAGTAAGACAACATCCAGGTGTGGTGGTGCACGCCTCTGAACCCAGCACGTGGGAGGCAGAGGCAGGTGGAGCTCTGTGAGTTCAAGATCAGCCTGTCTACATACTGAGTTCCAGGACAGCCAGAACTACTTAGTAGTGAGACCCTGTCTCAAAAACAAAAACAAAAACCGAAAGCAACCAAACAACTAAACAACAACAACCAGGAAAGAAAATCACATCTTAGCAGTTGAAGGTATGTCGAGTCAAAAGGCCTTGGCACAGCACCATATCAACATGAAATTTATAACTGGGAAAGGGACACAATAATATCTATATTATGACTGAAGTGAAATGGCCATTAAACATTCATAATTCTCGGCACTTTTGAAGCACATAAAGAAGGGTGTTTTTGTTTTATTTTATGTGGATGGATGTTTTGCCAGCATGTATGTCTACATACCATATGTGTGCAATGCCCTTGGGAGCCAGAAGAGGACATAAGAGCCCCCAGAACTGGAGTTATAGATGGTAGTGTGGCACCGTGTGGGTGCTGTGAATCCAGCCCAGGTCCTCTGGAAGAACAGCAAGTGCTCTTAATCTCGGAGCCATCTCTCTAGCCCCAAGAATTGTAATTTTTAGAGATGTTGTATACTCTCAGTTCTAAATCCTGAATTGTTCTTCAATATTTCCCCCCCCTGCATTCTAATGCAATGATCTTCAAGGTTCTGTGTTCAGGAGATCCCCGAGGACCTAACCTGCTCTATTTCCCAGTGCAGAAGTCCTTATTCTGAGGAAGAAAAACTTCTTAACACAATGTCTTTAAAGCGAAGTTCCCATCTAATATAGTGGAGGCTACTCAAATAGCCTCTTTAATCTTAAAAACAAAAACAAAAAAAACTTGTGTGCATTTATGTGAATGGAGGTGCACACGTGGAGATCAGAGTATAACCTCCTGGTTAGGTCTTCTCTTCCACCTTGTTTGAGACAGGGTTTCTTCACTGTTCTAAGGTGCCTATGCCAGGATCGTTGATTCTGGAGCTTTCCAGGGTTCTTCTGTCTTGTCTTCAGAGCTCTGGGATAGACACAGGTAACAGAAACGTGGAGTTTGGGGGTTCACCTAGGTCCTCATAGTTGGGCATCAAGTACTTTTACCCTTTGAACCATCTTGCCAGCTTTTAAAAGTATCCTAAGGATATTTGGTCAATCACAATCGCTTTGTCCATAACTCATCAACGTTTGAAACCTGTCTGTCCTGGAAAGATATTCACATGCCTCGATACTCGTGAGAAGTAATACTGCCTAGTGATGGACAGGCCTGAATCAGAACGGCACCAGGAAGGCCCTGGTGGCTCTGAGCACTGCGTGAGAATGGGGTGGAAATGGGAGCACTTGGTGATGTCTAAGGGAGGCGCCACGTCAGGCCAGGGACGTGGAAAGGCTCGCAGCTGCCTGATGTTGAGGCCAGGGGAGAGTAGACGCCTGCCTTAGCCAAGGGCCAAGTTAGGCTGGCAGAAAACCGCAGGCAGACGCTTTTAAAAAAGGCAGCCCTGGGTTCACGTCTGGGTAAGCTTTGTCTCCCGTCCCTGCCATCTGGCAGCTCGCTCCCAGAAGGGCGAGTCTGGCTCGGGCCAGGCCCCGGGAGCGCACAGATTTTTTTTTCTCTTAGGGCAACACGTTCACCAAAGAGACCGCTCTCGGTAGCTGGAGGTCGCCCCACATTCCAGAAAGGTACAGCGGTGCGGCACGGCCAACCCGACCCGGCGGCCGGAAGCTCACGTCCAGCGAGGCTGGCCTCCACCTCTAGGCGCGAGGGGCGGGGCGGGGGGCGTGTCGCCGCGCCCGGCTGGGCCAATCAGAGCACGCGACCAAAATAGCGCCGTATAAATACTGACCAGAGCGCGGGCGCGGGCGCGGGCCGGGCCGGGCCGCGGCAGCACCGGGCTGGGGTGCGCGCGCAGGTGAGGGCCCCGCCGCCCCGCCCCGCTCCGCCCACTGCACACCTGCTTCCGCCTGACGTGGACCTGGGAGCGGTTCCCAAACCCTGGCGCGGTTTGGGGTTTGTGAGTGAGTAACAAGCACGACACAGCCGGGCTCGGGTTCGGCGGGCCTCTGCCCGCCTCCCTTCTCCTCCGCCCTTCTCCTCCGCCGCAGCCTTGCGTCATCCGGGCCGCCGTTTGGCCTGGGTGCCAGCCGCACTTCCGGTGGGGACGCGCCCCTCTCCACCCTGGAGCGGTCCCGCACGGGGCTCCAGGCCCCTCCCGGAGGCCTGAGCTCCAGAGGGTGGCGGGGGGACCTCGGCCCTGGCGCCCCGCACACCGCACACGCCTGGGCCTCTGCATCCTCATCCAGCCCGTGACGTCATGCGGGCAACCGCCTCTCAGGCCATGCTCACTCCGCCGCCGCCCACCCTCCACCCTCCCGGCCTCCCTGTCATCTCCAGAACATTGAAGCGTGTCTTTATAAGGGAGGCTTTAACATACGTAGGAATCGGGTGTTGGGCTGGAGAAATGGCCCAGCGGTTCCCAGCACCCGCTTGGCTCACAGCCATTCCTACCTCCAGTTCCGGGGTTCATCGGGGGGCTCGAGGGGAGGTCCCCTGTGCCTCCTGATCTCCGCAGGCACCGTGGTGCATGAATGTACCTGCAGCAAAGCCCACTCATACATCTAAAGAACAATGGAAGAGTATAACATTGACAGCGTGAAATTCTAACGTATTTGAAATTATGAGCAAGTATAATTTTCCGGAAATGTTGGATGACATCAGCTCAATAGAATGATGCAGGGCATTGCTTGAGCCCTTCCCTTGAGCCTTGCCCTCTCTTCATTCTCTTTCTGTTTTACTCCCTCTTTATTCATTCCTTAAAATACACAATAAGACGCACAGATCTTAAGAAGACAGCCGTGGAAAGGTCTGCATAGGAGTAGAAAAGGAATTAGCCTCTAGGCCAAGGTCTGGACCCTTAAAACATTCCGGGTTCCCCTTTGGCCCTGCGCGGCCAGTACCATCATCCACACACAACCGCGATTCGGACCTGCTATTTGTCCATTCTTAAACTTCATATCATTGTAATCAAGCCGTGTGCTTTATTCTGTTTGCGTTCTGTTACTCAATGTACTGTTAACATCCAACCATGTTTGAATATACCACTAGTTTATAGATTGTTTATTGCTGACGAGATCCATTATGTAAATATACTGCAGGTGGATTTTAGATTATGTTCAGTTTGGGGCTGTTAAGAATAAAGTTACTGTGAACTTTCATGTAGTCTTGGTGAAAATACACAGATTTAAAAACTTACTGGGAGTGTGTGGTGTGTGTGTGTGTGTGTGTGTGGTGTAGTGTGTGTGTGGTGTGGTGTATGTGCATATGTGGTGTAGTATGTGTATGTATGGTGTATGTGTGTGTGTGTGTGGTGTAGTGTGTGGTATAGTGTGTGTATGTATGTATGGTGTGTGTGTGGTGTGTGTGTGTGTGGTATAGTGTGTGTGTGGTGTATGTATGTGTGATACAGTGTATGTGTATATGTGTGTGTGGTGTGTGTGGTGTAGTGTGTGTGTGGTGTATGTATGTGTGATACAGTGTATGTGTATATGTGTGTGTGTGTGTGGTGTGTGTGTGTGGTGTAGTGTGTGTGTGGTGTATGTATGTGTGATACAGTGTATGTGTATATGTGTGGTGTGTGTGTGTGTGTGTGTGTGTGTGTGTGTGTGTGTGTCTGGAGGCCAGAGGAGGCTGTTGTCTTGTCTCAGGGCTGTTACTCCCTCCATATTCCCTTGAGATAAGTGTCTGGAGCTGGGCTGGCATGCAGGAGCCCTAGTGACCCCCTTGTCTCAAGTCCCCATAGTGCCGGGGCTTTAGGTTGGCTTTTTCTGTGGTGCTGGAGATTTGCACCCCAGTCTTTATGCATCACCGTACCCACATTTTACATGGATCCTGGGGATCCGAATTCGGATTCTCATGCTTGCTGGGTAAGCACTTCACCCTCGGAACCATTCTCAACCCATGCCTATCCACTTCATGATAACTTTGTTTCTAAAACTGAATAATCCCTGCCTTTAAGAAATACAGAGTTGCCAGTCGGTGATGGCCCCCACCTTTAATCCCAGCATTCAGGAGGGGAGGCAGAGGCAGGCGGATCTCTGTGAGTTCAAGACCAGCCTGGGCTACCAAGTGAGTTCCAGGAAAGGTGCAAAGTTACACAGAGAAACCCTGTCTTGAAAAACAAAACAAAACAAAACAAAACAAAACAAAAAAAAGAAAGAAAGAAAGAAAAAGAAAAAAGAAATGCAGAGTCAGGTGGTGGTGCACAGCTTTAATCCCAGCACTTGGGACACAGAGGCAGGTGGATCTCTGTGAGTTGGAGGCCAGCCTGGGCTACAGAGTGAGATCCAGAACAACCAGGGCCACACAGAGAACTCGTGTCTCAAAACAAAAAGAAACACACCGTTCTATGTAATTTCACATATGCACTAAACAGTGGCCGTTACCCGATCAGAATCCACAACAGTCCTTCACTCCCCAAACTCCTGAGAGCCACCGCCTTGTAGACTTGTCATGCCCGCCTGTAACCCTTGACAATGACCAATGTGTTCCTTGTTGCTTTGGTTTTGCCTTTTCCCGGAAAATCACTTTAGAAAGTATCAGACAGTGGGTGCTTTGAATCTGGCTTCTTTCCTACCTGTGAAGTCTGTCTAAACTGTTCCATGTTTCAGTAGTCCTTCCCTTTTCATTGCTCAGTAATATTCCATAGTATGATTATAACTGTACTCACTTCTAGAAGGAAATTTGCGTTGTTTACCCGTCCCCTCTTCTCTGCCAGTCTCTTGGCATTTAGCCTATGCTGGCATTGAACTCAAAACCCTCCTGCTTCAGCCTCCTGAGTGGTTGGAGTTGCAGGGATGCATCACAATTACAGTCTCACTTAGGATAATTAGGAGAGTTGCCAGACGTAGTTCTCGTTTAAAGGGATGCTTTTGTTTGCTTCATTTTCTTGTTTTTGAGAAAGGATCTTATTATTTAGCCCAGACTGGCCTTGAATTTACTGATCTCAAACTCATAGTCATCCTCCTGCCTCAGCCTCCTCAGTACTGGGACTACAGACAAACTCCACCACATGCAACTTTCATCTCTTTTTTTTTTTTTTTTTTTTTTTTTGATTTTTCGAGACAGGGTTTCTCTGTGTAGCTTTGCGCCTTTTCCTGGAACTCACTTGGTAGTCCAGGCTGGCCTTGAACTCACAGAGATCCGCCTGGCTCTGCCTCCCGAGTGCTGGGATTAAAGGCATGCGCCACCACTGCCCGGCATCATCTCTTTTAATCCCTAGGAGAGGATATGTAACTCTACAGAAATCCTCCAAGTGTTTCCCTGAGGGCCATTGTGTGTTCTTGTCAGCCAGATGGGAGAATTCCCGGGACTCTATGCAGGACCCACCCCCGAGGACACCCAGCCACTAAGTCTCTCCAGATGCAGGTGGCCAGGTTCCACCCTACAGAGTGAAAAGCCTAAGTTTGGGATTTGAAAACTCACCAGTCCCTGAACATGAAATCCCACCAATCCCTGGGCTCACCCCACGCTCAGGACTCGAAATTCCACCAATCCCCACCCTGGAAATCTCCACCCTGGAAAGTTCCACCCTACCCCCAAAGAAACCTGATATAATCCCTGTCTTCTTGTTCTCTGCTGCTTCTCTCTTGAGCAGAGGCAGCCACCTTCCTCAGTTTTTTTTTCCTCCCAGTGAATCTCTTGTGTGAGGTTTGTTGTGTGGTGTGACTTTGTGGTATTCCTTGGCTCCACTGCAAGGATACCTTTCTCTTCAGAACTGTAACAGTTGCATTGGGGATCCTACCCCCCAGCAGAGCTGCAACACACTCTGTGTCCCCACTATTTGTGACGATGTTAATGGCAGATACTGAAATCTCATGACTTTTAATCATTTTTTAAAAGATTTATTTATTTATTGTATGTGCTCTGCCTGCATGTACACTGTATGCCAGAAGAGGGCGCCGGATCTCATTACAGATGGTTGTGAGCCACCATGTGGTTGCTGGGAATTGGGCTCAGGACCTCTAGAAGAGCAGCCAGTGTTCTTAATGGCTGAGCCATCTCTCCAGCCTGGAATCTCATAACTTGGAGGAACATTTTCTTAAAGGCGAGTGGTGTTTAGTGCTATGTCACATGCCTATTCATCAGGTGTTCATTCTCACTTGTGAAGGGTCTGCCCAGTGTTATTTTTACATTATTTTTGAAGGTCAGATCAAGAGCTTTGGGTATAGTCCAGTAATAAAGTGCAAGCCAAGCTCCAGGTTCTGTCACTAGTATAGCAACCCCATCCCCATGTCCCCAACCCTGCCAAAGAACTGGCTGTGCGGTTAAGTTTTTTTTCTTTCTTTTTCTCTTTCCTTCTTTCCTTCTTTCCTTCCTTCCTTCCTTCCTTCCTTCCTTCCTTCCTTCCTTCCTTCCTTTCTTCCTTCCTTCCTTCCTTCCTTCCGTCAACTTAACACAGATTGGGTCGTCTGGGAAGAGGGAACCACAGTTGAGAACAGTGCCTCCATCAGATTGGCCTGTAGGCAAGTCTGTGGGTGCGTTTTCTTGATTACCGATAGGTGTGGAAGGGCCCACCCCACTGAGAGTGGTGCCATCCTGGGCAGGTGGTCCTGGGAGGTATGAAAAAGCAAACTGAATGTGAGCCTGGAGAGCAAGCCAGTAAGCAATGTTCCTCTGTGGTCTCTGCTTCAGTTCCAGATTCCTGCCTTGAGTTCCTACCCTGACTCCCTTCATGATGGACTGCAAAGTGTAAGATAAAATAAGCACTGTCCTTGCTCAGATTGGTTTTGGTTTTATCACAGCAACAGAAACCAAATGAATTCACTGGTTTGATTTTCTGCTGAATTTTGAGAGTTCTTTGGGTATTTGGGATACAAGTCATACTTAGTTAATGAAAATCATCCTTCCGTTGAATTGGCTTCCTGTCTTTATGAAAAGTCCACTGGCCCCGTTTTGTAGGGATTTACCTTTGGGGATTTTTTCATTAACCTATATATCTGTTCACTTTCCAGTACCACAT